ACCAGCCCTGGGGCCACTCCATTTCTCTTTCTCCTTCCCCACTTCTCTCCGACCCATCCGTGATTGGTCATATCAAAAACAAAAATTTGATAACATATCGCCCGCAAAAAATAAATGACATTAACTTGCTCTTTCTAAATTCAAAGTTAAGTGTACCAGTTAGTTTGGTTTAGTTGAGGAGCCACTAACTAGGTGAAAAGCAAACAGTCGAAATGTTCGAAATGCCTCTTTATATTATTATATAAACGTAGATTATCGAACAGCAACGGGCTTAAAATTACCCATTACCTAGCGCACTATCTCCAAGTGTTACGAATGTAATATGCAACGGTTTGTTTCGGAGACTTGCTAAAAGATTTGAATCTGTGCTGCCCTTTAGGGGTAATCATTTGACAAGTTGTTGCAGTGCAATGGAACGAAAATCAAATGGATGAAGTTTGCTACTATATTCCCTATAAGGAGGGACAATCGCTCATGACTTTTGCGACATAATTTTGATCTTGCAAGAGCCTTCCATTTTGACATCAAAGCACCCCTTATCAGCGCAGTTACTTTCCGAAATAACAAAAATATATTAGGTCGGTGCGTAATTGTCATGCATTGCTTTGCCAAGCTATATTTTAATAAAAATATGCGATATCTTATAAATTTATGAATGAAAATAATCTTCAACTTTTAGGTTATAAAGACGAGAAAGGATGGAAAGCGGCGCAGTCATTTCTCGATCTCAACAAATTTTTCGGCTGGATGACACAACCAGCGAAAAACGATGCAGGAAATGATTTATCCATTTCTAATCTGGGAAGATGTCGAGCATCGGATTTCGGTGACCAGGCACTTTTGCCAGCCGTGGTAGCGAACGTAAATTTGGAAACTTGAATGCTGACCGACAACTTCAACGGGGACCATGCAACGGTCATTCGTTGCCTCAAAAAGCTTAGGTGAATGGTTCCCCCAGAAGCTCGATGGCAAGAATAAAGCCGAACGTGTCCGAATGCTCAAGGACGCTTGATAATTATGCACCAACGTATTATATCGACTTTGTCCAATGGCAAGAATGTTCTCCAACTTAAGCGAACGTAGCTGTGAGTATCATCATAAAGATAAGCATTCGCGAGTAATTAGCTACAAACGCTTTTCCTTGCTTATAACATCTGCATATGAGATCGATTGCCTTTCGAATAATATTTTAATATTAAATAATTTCAACATTCATGACAGTTCCTGGCACTTAATAATATTTTTAGAAATTGCCGATCAAATCCAAATATTGCATCCCCGGCTATTAAAGGTAAGGTTCTACTCTTAAAAGATTTGATTTCATATGATATAATTTAGGGAACTCGTAATTTGATTGCAGGGAAGTTAGCATCATTCTCAAAATGGTCTGGAAACCTTTTTCGCATTTTTAACCTTTGTTTAATATTTTTTTTTTTTTTAGATTTTATGCGCCCTTTATGTTCAGATGATTTAGCTATTGGTTCTTCTTGTCGAATTCTTTATGATCACCTTCACGGGCTCATTGTCTTAATTTTTCGTCTTATCTCTCCATTACTAATGCAAGTTTTTAATAGCAGAGCGATTAAATCATCTTCAGTCCGGCGCGTCCTTCTTCCGATGATGGCATTCCAGCCATCTTCGACCCTATCGGCCATTAATGCGTTCCCACGAATATAATTTATCATTTATTTATGTTATGTTTCAAAGAAAAATCCAACAAGAAAGAAACACACCGAAGACTTATTGCGTTAAGAACAATGTCGATAATGCGGTTCACGCGATTCATGTAAATATATCTTATGCGTAAATAATGATTATTACACAAGAATAACTCGCATCGCCGCATAACTGATATACGCAAAGGTTTAAACGAGGCTGGAAAATGTGCTAACACGAAAAAGTGTCGCCTAAATTACAGAAGAAATTTTAATAGGAGCCAAACCTTGAAAAAGCACGTAAAACAGAATCAATTCAAACATCAAATTAAGAGGTATATAAGAATTGAAAAAGAGGGCTGTTAATTGAGACATTACTGAGGAAATTACTTGGCAAACATAGATGCTTTCAATTGCAAAAGCAAATGATTATATCTGCGATCGGATTGTATCAACTCCTATAAATTGATATGCACTTTAGAGATAAGTCGACAAAATCTAAAGTTAGCTCTAAGATGTTTTAGAGATTAGGCGAATCCAGTAGTCGAGTTAGAGAATTGGATTTTCATGAATGTAAACTAAATTATTGCGGATTTTATAGAGGAGAGGGTGCGTCCATGCTTCAAGTGGAAATAAAAGTTCTCACAAGAATACGCCAAACATATAGTCGATAATTGAAATTCTTGAGAGATTTTCCTCATTGAATTTGTTCGCAACAAGACAATTAATTTTGATCTCTTTGTAATATAAAGCAGGTCTACATATATGAAATGGCGATTTCGGAAGTCAACTGCGGACTTGTGATTTCTTTATACCTTAAATAATTCGGCAGCCGCAACCACCTTCCTAACAACAAGGATATCTAGTGTTGTGACAAAAACAAAAGAACAATCGTCGACAACATTTCTTCATTGCTCGAATAATACAAAAGAAAAAGTTTTTGCATCGTACCGTTACTGTGGGTGAAAATTCATCATCAGACGGTTTTTATCAAACGCTACTAACAGCAACTTGTCGACCCGAAAGATTCGCTTTTCAAAAGACGGCCGAAATATTAACCAAAGCAATACAAAAGAATTTTTTTACACGACATCTATCCTTCCATTAATCCATGCATGAGACAATACCGTTTCGTGCTAGTCTTTACGTTGTACTCACCAGACTCGAGTCGAGGACTTTTAGAAGCGTGGCTTCCATAAATTGCACGAAAGTTCCTCGAGAAAAACGCCAATCAACGATGGACCAAATCGCGAATGCACCATTTAAAAAAAAAAAAAGAAAAAAATATTTCCACACTTGAACGCTTAATCCCGATTATAAGACCACACTGAACATTTCTAATCAATTTAACTGCGAAACGTTTCGAATTCAAATGAAAACACGGCTAAAAGTAAATGCGTCCAGTTTGACAAGCACAAGTGTACTGGGATAATTTTATTTGTAACACTCAGAAGTAGTCATCGAAGATCGTAAACCAGAAAAAAATGTTATTTTTTCTCTTCCATGAGACGAGATTGTGAACCGATTTATATTTGTCGCTCTCCTGTAAGAGTTTTAAAAGCAATCGCAATTAGGACACTTGTTCTTGTAGTGGGATTTCAATGATTGCGTTCAATGACTCGGTCAACAACAGCGAAAAATAACTAAAGGGTAAAGCCAAGTCCTAAAAAAATGCAATATGTCAAAATTGATTAAAGCCGATATTGAATTATTTTTATATATTGCAATTTAAATATTCTTCTCTTCTTCTCTTGCTGTCTCTCTTGCGGTTACTTTTGGTTGAACACAAGACAAGAGAATTAAAAATCCACAATAGATCTTGATTTCTTCGTAGATCGTGAGCGCTAACAAGATTTGCTTTTGAACACTTTCGCCTATTTAGGCGTCAAGTATAAAGTATGACATCGAATCAAGTTTCATTTTCTTTTCTTTCAAAGAATTGAAAAAATTGTCGGGCAGCATGAACTTGCGTCATGACAAAGACTGAAATCGTTATATAACGTAAATATTTTTGAATTATTAATCGATAATTAGGAAAAGACATAATAATAATATATATATATATATATATATATATATATATATTTATTTCGGGTACATGTATATATACATACACTTAATGTCATTAAAAAATTTGCAGCCAATAAGACATAGGTATGTGCAGAGACATGTATTGTATGCATAGAAGCTAATAGACATCTACGCATGGTATACGCATACATAGTCATCACTTTGAATTTGATTGTTTTTATATATATACGGTGCAAGCGCAATATCGATATCTAAGATTCAATACGGTTTGCTGATGAATGCCATTAAAGAAATCCCTATAGATAGATAAACACATCGATAAACACATAAATAACATCGATTATTACAAGTTACATACAATATATAAAAAGTAATATAAATAATAGATAATCTAAAGAAACATTGAACCCATTGATAAATATGGAGATTGTTGGTCTCTTGTGACAGTGTACATAGCTTTGAGTTGAATGAAGAATTTTTGAATGAATAAATGAAGCGAACCCTAAAAGGCTCAAGACTTTTTAGATTATTTCATATAGAAAAACCACTTCGTTTTTCTTCAATTATGACCATATTAGCCATATCAAGCTATAGTATTTACTCTTTTAAGATTTTCTTTATAGCTAGCTAGCTCATCGATAAATGTTCCCTCACAACTTCCGTTCTAAAGACTTTATCTTTTAAATTAGATAAAGAGATTTTGCAATCTATAAACTACTCTGTCTGTCATGCAGTTTGTTAGTTCTAAGGCTTCGTCTGTGTAAATCAGCAAAGAGGTTCGGCTTTTTTTTTGCCATAACTACGATAAATAGATAAACGATTAAACATGACCGACCAGACCGAATCGCAAACACAGGCTGATCAATAATAAAAACGCATACACTTTGTCGTAGAGGTGTCGCAAATAGATTTGTTATACTTGTACTTGTTCCACCGTTAATGGTTATAAAATTTAAGCTGAATAGCAAATACAATTCGCTCATTTCATTCCAGTTCAGTAATTTAAGCCGTAATATATGTGACCCCTTCCTTCCCTTCATGTAATATTTAAAAAACAAAAAAAAAAAAAAACAAAAAAAAGTGCATTGAAAATCATTACGTTACGTATTAGCTTAAAATTATTTTGAATAAATTTAGCGACAACATGAAATTCATTAAGATAATATGCATGGATGATGAGTGCGTTGCGTTGTTTAAAGAATGATTTGTATATATATATATATATACACAATTGTTTGTATATATATACATATATATAGGCATTTGTTTGCCTTCACTGATAATTAAAACTAGCCGTCGGTATTGTGAACTTACCATTTGTAGGCATTGGGGGAATAGAACCGACACTAGCAGCGGTCGGAGCACCAACTGTTGGAATTCTTGAAGGTTCCATTTTCCAGTGCGATGGAATGTTAAAGTTAGCTGCAACTATAGATCCAATTTCCCGACTAATTCCCGGTTCAATCAACATGACAATTTCATTTGGTACCACTAACTCTATTCAATTCCATACACTCATCTATAACGATAACAGCTGGCTACAGCAACAGTAACGACAACGACAACGACGACGACAACAACAACAACAACAATAACAACAACAAGAGCAACAAGATCACAACAACAGCAACATCACAATAATCGTAAGAATAATAATAATAATAGTAATAGTAACGACAACAACAACATCAATAACAGCAACAAACACTTCAATTTAGTTCAATTGTTGACGCCACTTCCTTTATGCATTAGTTTTTTTATACTTTTTCTAATTTTTCTATTTTCTTTTTTATTTTTTTATTTTTATTTTTTTTTTATATATATTATTTTATTTTAATTCATTTATTTGTACATACGTATATATATATATACATATATATATATATATATATATATGTGTGTGTGTGTATATACATATATCCACTATTCCACTATTCGCAAAACAAAAAAAAATACATAATTTATGAGCTTGTATGGGTGTAAGTGTAAGGTGTACATGTGTGTGTGTGTGTGTGTGTGTATATGTGTGTTTGTATGTATGTATATATGTATATTTTCGAGCGTGTGTGTGTGTGTGTGTGTTTGCGCGTATGTTTGTGTAAATATATAATGTATTTAAGTATTTTTATAGGTGTGTGTGTATGCGTACATTAGTTTAATTTTAATTTGAATCAAACATCGAAACACTGTTACAGAAGATTTTACATTTATATACGTTTTTTACACATCCGTTCACTGAAAGGCACAAAAAGATTTTTCTTTTTTCTTTTTTTTATTTGTTTTTTTTTTTTTTTATTTTTCCTGATTAACTTTTTTAATTCAATTGTTTATAATCCCGTCAAAGCGCAACCACGACCCAAACACGCATCCATCGGTTAGCGTACTGAACTGGCCACATTTGCTCTGCTTGAATTCAACAGAAGTCACTTGGCGACTTTCCCCCCGCAACCTTAATTATGTTTGTATGTTTTATTATATTCTCATGAGCATGTGTGCGTGCGGATCTGTTTGTTATTCTCATTAATTTGGCTTTTGTCGTCTGAGTGGTTTTCAATGCTCGCTCACTCGATTTCCACTACCACTACCACTAGCACTACCACTACCGCTACCACCACCAATACCGGAGCAGTCTTAAACTACTGAAACGGTTGTCAGTTGACAAACCTCACAGTAATGGCGCTTGTTGTTTCGCACATCATGCATATAGTATTTCTTACGTTAATGCCGTTGGTTTCTTTTGTCAGTTCAAACTTTTTACAAAATGCATAAGTATGAAAGGGACAACACTAGTGATACAGTAAATAGGCCTCTCCCACTAATGACGACAGCAATTACCATTGTTAAGGATTTCCAGTAGGCAGTGCCCATTGCACATGCTTGCGTCCATGAATGCCAACAATTCGGTTTTTCGTGTTTGTGGTTCATTAATGTTCGAACATATAAACACTCACTCGTACCCAATATTGTCATATATATATACATATATATATATATATATATATATATATATGAGTATTAAATGTGTTCTTAGGAGAGAGCACATACATACGCATATATGTATACATATATATATAAATATATATATATATATATATAAATGCATATAATACATATATATATACATATATATATATATATATATATGTGTGTGTGCATAAGCAGTTGGTCTCACCTTTTTGCTCGCTCATACCTACACTGTGTGGTTTCCAATCAATCTAAATTGTTATAGAATTGTTTTCTTTGTTTAAGTTTTACAATCTTTTCTCACTTATTGAAACAACGTATCATTACATAAATACATTCGCATGTATACATATGTATGCATGCATGCATGCATGCATGCACTTATCTACAAACATACAAGTTACATACATAAATTTCAGTTAACTTTCAAAGTGTTGTACCGACGTTAGCATACAAACATGCATACATATACATAAAGTCATATATCCCTATAGATATATGCATATGGACACACATACACATATATGCAGGCATATATACATATGTAAGTATCCAAAACATTTCGTCTATGATTCGTTATGTATCCACAACAAGCTTATTTACATGCAAATGTGTTTGAGGAGAAATTGCAGAGATGTAAATTGATTAAAAAAAAAACAAAAAAAAAAAAAAAGAAAAGAAAAAACATAAAAACACAAAAAAGAAAAGCATGCTTTAAATTTTTTTTTTTTTTCTCTTATGAAATGTTTTTAAACTAAATTTTCAAAATGCCCCTACTTTGCATGGAAATAATGTATTGATATATGCGTGCGTGTGTGCGTAACATTCCTTAATAATTGCGTAAATTCTGCTCATTAATAATTATTATATATTTTCTTGCATTAATCTAAATATCGCAAAGGATGTCTGTTATCGAGCTTCTCTGCATAAAATCGCTTATGCGACGATACAATAAGAATACTAAAATAACCGCATCGGTGTAACTGCTATAGTCATTGCATAACTGTCACCCTAACGTTACAATAGATATCGTTAGCAGTTGTGCTCCCCTCTCAGATTTCCTTTATTTAGAGAATAATAAAAATGAAATTTTTTTTGAAAATTTATATATAGAAAAAGAAAATAAAAAAAAAAATTATCAATATTCGGCTTTCTTACATATGAAAATATAAATTCTAAGCTATATAAAAAAAAAAAAAAAAAAAAAAAAAATTTGCTTTTAAAAATATTGCCTCGATTTTGAATGACTTCGCTCGCCAATCGAACATAAAATCCAAGCAAATGGAATTTATTCAAAAGAAAATCCTACGACGCTACATAGAGCGCCTTATTTTAAAGCTTCAGTTCAAGTTCAGTTCAGTTGAAGGCAATTAAGTGAAAATAGAAGCACACAGCCAGCGGTAAGATAATAAATGGTTTGAAGAGAAACGCGTTTAAAGTTTTAAGTTTCAATTTTGAACAAATTTATGTTTAACACCTAATAAGCGACCTCTTCATTCCGATTGTAAGAGCTTTCCACGTTTCCGTTAACATGACAGATTTCTATATGAAATGTTTTTCAAACCCAAAATATCATTAATACGCCTACACGTATGCAATAATTGTAAAATCGACTTTTTAAACCCTTTCTTTTTCATAATCATCTCTCTTATATAATTCTTCAACATAATATAAGGATTCATTTAGGATAATAGAGAAAAATTGGAAAAAATGATAAGCTAATAAGAGTGAATTTAATGCCAATATTTCGCTGTGCTGAAAATATCTATTGATATACATTTACCGTATAAAGGTTAATAACGGTCTGAAGATGGGAGGAGAAAGAGCACATTTTCGATGCTTATCGCTGTTATATTTGCTTTGCATCTTCACAAAATGATATATATGGTGAGCATATATTGAAGCATGCCGTAAATGAAAATATTTTGCCATTCTTTCATATCCAAGAGTCTGCTCACACTATTAGTTAACCAGTTTTTACTGGTATCGGACTTTAGACGTTAATTAATCAAGAGCTTGAAGATATATACGGAAGCTTGGAATTATAAAAATTCGTGGTGTGTTTGAGTGATGCGAATTCAATCGACGTATGCAAAAAGTTTCTTCCACTAATAGCTGCCAGTCGCCATAAAAATGATTCGAGCAAGGATTGCCTCCAAATATGAATTGACGCAAGTAATCGATCAAAAGCGACTGAAATTGAAAAATAGGCGCTTAAGCTCCGCTAAGACATCACAAACGATAATAGCTTGATTTCTTATCCGTTTCCAAGCTGGGCTTTAAACAGGCAGAGGGTAAAAAGAATTTTGAAAATTTTATAATTTATTTACGTGGCTTTGTCGATTTAAAATTTAGCATAAAAAATGAGTAAAAGGTAATATGAATGTTATACAAGCCTGCAACCAACAGCTAATTGTTCGGTACTTATAGACTACGTCGTATTAATCGAGATCGAAATATTCCTTCAAGTAGCAAAGATCTCCTTTACTAGCCTTTAGAGTTTAACGTTAGAATCTAAACAAAATATTGTTAATGGATACAACATTTTTAACTATATATGTATATACAATCACTCGTTTTATGTGTGTAAATAATAATAAAAAGGATTTGACTTTAATCTTTTTACTCATTCATGCGTCTATTGTTTTTAAAATCGTGTCCACTAGTTAGCGACTAAACGATTCTAATCTCAACGCGCCAATGAAGCTTTAGTTGAAAGTAAGAAGCAACTAAAAGCTACTAACAATTTAATTGGCAGGAGTTTAGTTTAACTTTTTTTATTAACTTTCAACAATAAGTTCTCCGAAAACGCATTCTTGACTTTGGATGGACAAATGAGTTTACTCAAATTTTCTGATTTAAAATATTGACGAATATGTATATACTTTACTACCAAAGAAGAAAAAAAATAAAAAAATTTTAAATATAATATATAATATATAAATAAAATGGGAATGTAGAAATTAATCGAGTCAACCCTTTTCCAATAAGGTTCGTCCTTGGGCCAAAATATCTCATTGCATAAAATTCTATTAACATTCATAACTCAAAGATTTCCACTAATATATGGGCAGCCAACACACACACACAAACTATTAAACACGCAGCGAAGTTAAATCGATTTAGAAAGCAATTCTGATGTGGTTTGTTTAATAAACGGTGGATGCTGTATATGTTCGCACAAATTTAATACATCGTTACAACACAAGTGGAGCAACATGTCACCAGTTGCGATCTCGTGTTGAGCCTAAGTATTAATATCTAAGTGTCAATTTCATATTTTCTATTGAACTTTTGTATGACTAGGATTAATTGCCCAATAGATCCGCTCATAACCATCTCTATTATTACATGTATTATTACATGTATTCTTCAGATGCCTTCTTACTTTACTTACAATAAGAAGCTATCCATCCTGCGACACGCAGGATACTTTTTCTACTTTCTTTTTTAAATAAAATTGTTTTTTACTTTTACTCTCATACATTCTATGTTATGCGTAGGCTTGTAATGTTACTGTGCCAATACTTTTTTTTTATATATACATATATATATACACTATATTTTTTCAGTGCTTCCGCGTTTGCTAAGATCTTTTGTACTCACAATCAAAAAATAAATTCAGGCTAATTTTAGATATAAGCTTACATCACTGCGT